TCCGGTAAATAGAAGGATGACTGATATCACTAGGATCTCCCCATGTTTTAAATATTAATTTTTAAGATGAGACCTATGAAAAGAATGAATATGTGCATTTAAGGGGAGTGTCCAGATCTTCCCAGATTGGCTAAATGTGCCTTAAAGCCTGAGCCAGGGATGTTTGAGGTGTGAGCATAAGCCAGTGCAGTGTGGCTGTCGTGCCCCATGACACATATTTTGTTGTAAATCACTGTATCACACTTCGCTTCAGAGGTAGAGAAGTTGGTGTCCCTTTGGCAAAAAGAAAGACGTCGGAATCTGGCCCTCAGGGTGGGCAGGCTGCAGTTGCTGTGGGGATCTGCTCAGTGACTTCCTCTGCCCAAGTCCCCATTTGCCAGCAGTTTGTCTAGGATAGACTGGCCATTCCCCAAATATCCATGGATGCCTGCTTTGGCAGCAGAGCCTTCTAGGCTTATCACAGATCGATGACTATGGCATTTGTGTGGCAGTTTGTGTTACACGTCCCATGCCAGGTTGTAAAGTAGCTAAAGAAACCGGGAGCTCTTGCAGAGCCCTGTTTAACAGAGGCAGTGCTGCATTAAGGACAACTGGCAAGAAGCTGGAGGAGCGAAAGCAACTAGAGAAAGAGAAGTCCCCTAGAGGGAGGGAAAAGGAGACTAAAGTTCCACTAGCAATCACCGTTTTTGTCAGGCCCTAGGGAACTACTGCCTTTAGAACTTTCCTCCTTCATATTGCCCCTGATGAATGGATTGGGCCAGGTCAGTTGGCCCAAAGTGGAGAAATCTGAGCAGTTTGGGGCATCATTCTTGGGAGTTTCTTTGAGATTTTTTGCCCTGCAATTTCTAAGATGCTAAAGCGAGCCCAGGACGGTTGAAGCTATGGCCCAAGCAGTAGTAGGCAACTTAACATTCTGCAAGCATCTTGTAAACTCTCACCTGGAGCCAAGTTGTTTCAGCTTTTTGCCAAAAGAAAAGCTCACTCACAAATACTAAACAGTTCGTGATTTATCTATCGTACTCAGAGCCATAGAAGTGGCTGCAGGATGGGATGGGACAGGCAGGCAGGGTGTGTGTTGAAATGAACACCAGCCAGCGTTTACAGTGTGTATCTACAGATTACAAGTATTCAACGACTAGGCCTGATTCACTTGTGGTCACATGTGAGATTATTTGGATGAGATTCTTCACTCCAGTTCAACTGTGTTACACGAGCATACTTGATTTTTCAAGGCTGGGGTAACCTTTATGCTAAAACCATACAACAAGCAGAAACATGGCTTTACTTTTCAGGATGATGGGGATAGAGCTTAGTCCCAGAATAGAAACACTCTTATACCTGTTACTAAGAGGAACAATTGTAGCCTCTTAGGGAACAAGAAAACATGACTTTGCAAACCAAGGAGATGTCCATTTGCCTGAGGACCAGACATGTGTATAAGTGCTTTACATGCCCACACTTATTATTCATTTGAGAAGCTGGGGGCAGCTGTAGAATCTGCCTCTGGTTTCCTTGTCTGCCTGACTCAGAAAGGGAGCCAGAAATCTGGAGAGGATGTCCCCAGGAAAGATGGCACTTCATGGGACCTGAACGAAAGGTTCTGCTACATTAATTAAGAGGAGCAAGATCTTTGGTTGATGGTGAAAGCCATAGCCTTTCCACTTAGAAGTAGTTTCTCAAGGAACCGATCAGAGTTCTTGCCTCATGAGTGGGGTAGGAAAAGTCAAGAGGCCAATGGACTGTTGGAGCCATGCTCCTGTTGGTGGTCGATATCCCTTCAGTTTCCAGCTTTCATCCTTCTCTGTTAGCCCAGTGCTTGTCTGTGTAGCATCTTGAGCGGTTGCTTCATATCACGTGCAGGGCATCAGCCTGCAGGTGCGGGCAGTTCTTACCCACAGCAGGTAACCAGCTTTTGCCCCATCCCTCACCTGCCTTGAGCCAATTAATAGCACTATAGAAACTTTCCCACCCATCCTACACATGGAAACAAGAAAGGCGTGAGAGGAGTCTGGAAACAGCTCTGCTCCTCCTAAGAGGCCAAGCCATGACGGAGGCGCTTGGAGAATGGGCACAACTCTATTAATAGCTCCCACAGTAAACCCAGGAGGTGGGAGTGGGGGTGGGAAGAGGCGGCGAGGAGCTCCTGACCGGCAGTGTTCCCTGTAAATTAAACATCAGTTACCCTCTGTGTCCATCTGTAGTAATTGAAGGCAGGAAAAGTGTCTTGGTGATTAACTGGTGGTAGTAAACTTTCTGATCAAAGTGAGTATGAGAAGAGCTGGAGAGATTACCCTTATAAATAAGTATCTATAAAATATGTATGTCCTTGAAGGTGGGGGAGATAACTAGAACCTAGGTATTTAATTTGGGCTAAGTGCATGTAAAAAATAGCAACACCACGCATATTTAGCTCTAAGTTCATGGGGAGAAAAGGTCAAATGAATGGTTTTGGCTCAGTTCTACAGATACATGCCCTGTGAGGGTTTTTTGTTTGGGGGAGGTTTTTTTTAATGTGTTCCTTGTCACAGAGATTCTCTCTCTCTCTTTCTCCCTGTTCTACCTTCCCCCCATCCTGGCTTTCTCTTCTTAGGCTTCTAGATTGTTCTTGTGACTGTGCATAGAGGAGGCAGTCTTTTAACAGTGAACAACAGAACACCTTTCCCCAAATGGATTAGAGCCGTACCTGGCACAGCTTCTCAGAGCTTCTCTCTGTTCTCAGTCTTCCCAGGATGAGATCTCTTCTGCCTCTTGCCTCTTATACCTAACTTTTCCCTCTCCTCAACCTCTAGTATCACTTTGTCTTCTTCACCCCATTCTAAGACTTACAGAGTTTGTTGAAAGACTCATAAATCTCAATAGGTCTGAAGCTCATGGCAATTGGAGATTAGTTAATTCTCATTTCCACAAGATTCCCTATTTTGACAGCTCCCTAAGGAAAACACATCCTGCTGGCTTTTCTGTTCACTTTTGTCCCCCCGTGAGCAATTTTGGATTTGTGCAGTTGGGGTGAGCATCTCGATTGTGTAAAGCACCCTCCTGCAGCAGACACCCATGTCCAGCAGTACCCCACAGGGAGCGCTCCCCTTCCGCAAGCTCTGTTGTCTCTAAAAGAAAAAGATAAAATTGCCACGGCCAAGTTCTGCCTTGTTGAAGTGCCTTTCCAGACAATGGAGGCCACAGCATCTGCGGTGGGCAGCGCTGTTGGCTGAGGGGGGAGACTCTTCTCCACCACGTCTCAAGTCGAGCTTATTAGACGCGTTGCTGGAGGGGCTCGCACCTCACGGAGCGGGCTAATTGGCTGCAGTGCGCTCTGCCGCCAACCCATCTCCATCCTCCAATTAAACTCCCATCATCCCGTTGTCCTGGGCAACCTGCTGCTGCCTCAGATTTGGCATTTCTGTTTGGGTTTGTGTTTGGGGGTTTTCTGTAGTCCTTCAGTGGTAACTTAATGAAACACTTTAAATACTCCATTTTTAAAAATTTAAACTCTTTTAATTAAAGCACTTTTCGTGGAACCCTCAGTCACGAGTTATTTCCCCACATCCTTCAGTACTTAATCTCAGAGCAGAATTGGAAATATTGATAGAAAGTGTAAATCATGCCCTCCTGCTGAATGCGTTGTATCAGGTTTCAGCTCAAAAGAGCACCATTACCTTTAGCTGTCACGGATCTGTACACTTGATCGATAAACTTCAAATATTATTAGAGGTGGAGGCTTCAGAGATTTGCTCTGTTCTTTGGAGAGAGACAGAGATAAATCTTTCTTAAAAATTGACTTGAATTTGCACTCTCAGTCTTCTTGGTGAAATGCATTTCTCTTAGGCGTCCAGCAACTGCAAGGGGACAGATTTATAGGCCATGTGCTTCTTGTACTGAAAGATTTAAATGGTAAATCCTTCACATATGACTTCACAAATCATGTAAAGTTAAAAGATTTTTACCGTTTCTGTTGCTGCTGTGCTTAAATTGTAAGGTACAGCTAGTAAATCATTTTAATGGAGGTGTCGTACTTGACTCAATAAAAAAAAAGACAATGGTTTAGCTTCCACTCCAAAATGTTAATGTATTAATCAACAGGAGAATAATTGTTTTTTACTACATTATAAATCTCGGGTGCCATTAGGATTTCAGCAAGGGGTGATGTAGCCACATTCCTAAATTAAAATTGTTTACCCTGCCATACATCCATTCTGCATTACCATAGCTCATTCTGGGTTCATTCTGGAGTTGTTCCCCAGCCAAACATGTCATTCCTCAGGCAGAAGACGACATCCTGGGGGAGTGATGCTTATAAAGGAAAATTAATTGCATCGTGAGGTGTTAAATAAATAAAATAAAAATCTTCCATGGCAATGGACAATTATTCCTTGCTGTCTTTTTTGAAATAGGTTTTTAGGTTTGAAATTGAGGCTTACTCCCTCATACATCCTAGATGTAGCAAGCATGTCAGTTGTCTTTAGTCTTATAATACTTGTTTTATCTCTAGGTGGCTATGGCTTTAGAGCTCCTTACTTTTCCTAAGCATGTATGTGCTACCTATACCTATCAGAGATAAATCATTGGGCATCTACAGAAAGGGGCTCTATCTTCCCCTCCACAGTTCCAGTTATTGCCTAAAGGTGCCTTTCAGAGCACCCTCAAATAGTTAGGTCGGCCTCCTTAATTAGGATCTGCAACTGGATGCAGATAGAGTGAAGGCTAAGACTAGGTCAGGACTGGATAGACTCCGTTTCTTCCCTCTCTGCCTTCTTAAGCTTGTTACACATGCATTAGCACTCCTATGCTACTTAGAATGAAATTGCCTCGTGGGGGAGAACAGATCAATTCAGCATTGGACAGGTCAGTCTGTTCCCTCAGTGTAACTTGATCCATCTCGATTGTTCTCTCTGACTCCTCTATTAAAAAAGAAGGTGACCTTCTGACCCTGGAGGCAGTGTCGCCGGGGCTTCTGGTGTCTTGTAATAAGCTCTACATCCCTATTCCTCTTCTGATCTCAACAGATTCTCGAGCAGGTGAGGAAGGCTCGATCCGGGCAGTGGATCATGCCGTGATTGGCGGCGTCGTGGCCGTGGTGGTGTTCGCCATGCTGTGCTTGCTCATCATTCTGGGGCGCTATTTTGCCAGACATAAAGGTAAGCAAGGTGCTTTGGCAGGCAGGAGCAACATGTCCCCACAGCCCCTGCGTTTGGGGACTTTACAAGGTTGTTCTAGATAGGCAATTTAATTTGTGTGGCCCCACAGCCTATCTGATTCCTGAAATTGGGAGAGAAAAAAACAGAAATCTTAGCAGCTGCTGATTAGGACTCTAGGAGTTGATGAGTAGCATTCCTTGATTTGGATTTTCTCTAAATATAAAGCTTTATAGAGTTGTTATTCTACACTCCATCATTGGGGATAGAGTAAAAAGGATAAAGTAGGGGATGGTGTACAAGGTGTGGTGTGAACCCCCTGATGATAAATGTGGGAAAAGCACTCCCACAACCTGCTGTTTTCTGGGAGGCAGGTGGACCAGCCCATTGGGGATAGAGTAAAAAGGATAAAGTAGGGGATGGTGTACAAGGTGTGGTGTGAACCCCCCGATGATAAATGTGGGAAAAGCACTCCCACAACCTGCTGTTTTCTGGGAGGCAGGTGGACCAGCCATGTTCCCTGGCCCTGAACTCTGGGTAAGCTGGTCCCAATGGCTAAAAGACTTCCTTAGTTTGATGTGCCCAGGTTAAAGAAAATTCTTTGCCTTAAAAGCCACATAAATATGTATTTTTAAAATTATCAGTGCAATTGATTTAAATTGCCATTAATCATCACACTTAGCTGTGCAGTCTGGATGGGCAATCATCTTTTCTAATGTTCCTCCTCTCTGCCCCATGCTGCTCTGATCCTCTTTTTCCCTCCTGGTAATTTATTCTTCCTTTTCTTTGTCGGCCCTTGTCTTTCTCAGTTACTTTGCTCAAGCACTGTGCACTGAGCTTGTGGAGTTTTCTAAGCAATTGCATACTGCTTGGTTGTAGTACTTGGGTTTGGGGAAGTTCCCTTGAGTACAGCAGTGGAGGTCCAACATACTTGACAACCGCCTTTAGGATACGAAGTGCCCGTCTCAGGCAGAAAACACTTTGGGACTTGCAGAGCTGTCTGTACGTCGCCCTCCGCCCATAACTCAGAAGGCCGTCTGTGTGGCCAAGATCTCCCAGCCTCGCAGCTTAGCTTGCTAGAGCCAGGAAGGAAAGGCCAGAGAGCAGGGCAGAGTCTGAGCAGCCACTGTGGGGGGCCAAGGAGAGAGAGCATGTGCATCACTCTACAAAAGACAAAAGGAGACAGGAGGGAAGCATGTGACCACCTTTTGCTCAGATTTGTCACTTTGAAAACCTGGAAATACCGCAAATGTCTCAGGCATTTTTAACTTAAGAATCTTCAGGAATACAGCATATAATGGGAGGAGGGTTATTTGATTATGACAGGCAGTTTAAGCTCTGCCTACCTACCATACTGAGGTGCAGTCCTTGTCTTTCTCCGTGTAAACTGTTGGGATTTGGTGATAAGCATGTCACCAACTTTGTAACGTTCTGTCTATTGTCATTATAAAGTGGCTGTGCCAATTAGCAAATCCATGAATCTGGGTCCGGGCTAGAGTTACATGATGAGAGAGAATCACTTGCTCATTAAGACACATCCCAAGCCCTCATTCCAGCCATTTTAATGTGCAGTTGCTTCTCAATCTGGAACCCCACTCTGAAACAGAGGGCACAGGAACATCAACCACACTTGTGCAAGTTCACGCACAGGCTCACCTACGGGTAGGCAATAATGACGCATGAAGCCAGGAGACTGTGGTTCAAATAAACGATTGGGGATGGTGATAGATGCATCATCAGGGGCCCTAATTCATTTATTGGCTAATTGCTCTTCCTTGCTTTGGTCTTTAACCACGTACGTGCACATATCTGGTCATTGGTCCTTGGTGTTTACTGTTTATACGTTAGTCAGCAGCTCTCCAGCTTTCTGCATTTTTAGCTCCCACTCACGTCTTCTTCTGCTGACATCCTCTGGTCATAATCACTGCTCTAATGTCTCATTTGCTGAATTATATCGCAGCGGTTCAGTTGGAGTGGTGCCTTTGGAACCCCCGGATCCCATTTGTCTCACCCCCCTCGCTCTCTTCTTCCAATTGTTTTTTCCCCTCTGCCGCCTGCACACCACTTCGGCTGATGATGGCCATAAAGCAAGTTGCCATCTCTGTACCACTTTACACAGAGGCCATCAGACAGTCACGGTGCTTTACCCCTTCATCTTTCAGGTACATACTTCACTCATGAAGCCAAAGGAGCCGATGACGCAGCAGACGCAGACACAGCTATAATCAATGCAGAAGGAGGACAGAACAACTCTGAAGAAAAGAAAGAGTACTTCATCTAGAAAAGCCTTTTTGTTTCAATGAGGTGTCCAGCTGGCCCTATTTAGATGATAAAGAGACAGTGATATTGGAACTTGCGAGAAATTCGTGTGGTTTTTTTTTTTTTTTTTTTTTTTTTTTTTTTTTTTTTTTTTTTTTTTATGAATGGGTGGAAAGGTGCGAGACTGGGAAGGCTTGGGATTTGCTGTGTAAAAAAAAATGTTCTTTGAAAAGTACATTCTGCTGTTTGACACCTCTTCTTTTGTTTGTTTGTTTTTTTAAATTTTTATTTCTTCCTACCAAGTCAAACTTGGATACTTGGATTTAGTTTCAGTAGACTGCAGAAAATTCTGTGCCTTGTTTTTTGTTTGTTTGTTGCGTTTCCTTTTTTCCCCCACTTTCCTTTGTGAGCATTTATTTTTCCCAAAAAAATTTTTGGACTTTTTCCAAAATTTCCCATTTTGGAATTTGCCTGCTGGGATTCCTTAGACCTTTTTCCTCCCCTTTTTTGTTATCGTTTTTACTTTCTTTTGTTTATTTTCAAGGTAACTGCTTTCTGTTCAAAATTCAGTTTCATAAAAGGAGAACCAGCACAGTTTAGATTTCATAGTTCAGAATTTAGTGTATCCATAATGCATTCTTCTCTGTTGTCGTAAAGATTTGGGTGAACAAACAATGAAACCTCTTTGCTGCTGCCCATGTTTCAAATACTTAGAGCAGTAAAGACTAGAAAATTAGACTGTGATTCAGAAAATGTTCTATTTGCTGTGGAACTACATTACTGTACAGGGTTATCTGCAAGTGAGGTGTGTCACAATGAGATTGAATCTGTCTTTAATTCTGTATCTGTAGATGGCTCAGTATAGATACCCCACACTGTCCAGAAAAGTTTGGGGCAGAGAGGACTCCTTTTTGTATACCCTAAACAACCCTGACAGGTGAGGTCTGTTGCTTTTATATAAGTGGACAAATTTGAGTTGCCACAGGAGGGGAAGTAGGGAGGGGGGAAAGATAGTTCTGCTCTGGTTATTTCTGTTCCAAATGGTTCCATCCACCTTTCCCAATCGGCCTTACTTCTCACTAATTTGTAGGAAAAAGCAAGTTTCGTGTGTTGTGCGAATGACTGAATGGGACAGGGTTTTTTTTTTTTCCTTTGTGCATAGTTAGGAAGGCAGTAGGGTGTGGCCTGCATGTACTGTATATTACAGGTATTTGTCATGCTGGGATTTCCAACCCGAATCCGTGTGAAACTTTCATTCCTTCCAATTTGGCTTGACAAAGGCAGGAGGGACAAAAGAAGGGCCGGTGTTGTTCTCACACTGGTCTGCTGTCGATCTCAGTTCTCGAAAGGTCAGAGCAGAGGTGGAAAAACAGCATGTAGGGATTTTCAGTTACTTAATCAAAACTCAAATGTGAGTGTTTTTATCTTTTTACCTTTCATACACTAGCCTTGGCCTCTTTCCTCAGCCTTAAGAACCATCTGCCAAAAAATTACTGATCCTCGCATGATGGCAGCCATAGTGCATAGCTACTAAAATAAGTTACCTTGAACATATCTTAGACGGGGAGCCTTGGGAAAAGGTAGAGGAGTCAAGTTACCATTGACATTTTTTTTAAAGAAATGTGGGGATTTTCACTGAAACGTCTAGGAAATCTAGAAGTAGTCCTGAAGGACAAAAACTAAACTCTTACCATATATTTTGGTAAGGCTTCAGACTCCAGATAACAGTCCCTAAGGAAAGATGGCATCAAAAAAGATAGATCTCTATATATATATATAAATATATATTATATAACATTTTCAGTGAGTAATTTTGGATTTTGCAAGGTGCATTTTTACTATTGTTACATTATGTGGAAAACTTACGCTGATTTATTTAAGGGGGAAAAAGTGTCAACTCTTTGTTATTTGAAAGTGTGTTTATTTTTCTCGTCTTTATTTTAACCTTTGATAGAACCATTGCAATATGGGGGCCTTTTGGGAATGGACTGGTATGTAAAAGAAAATCCATTATCGAGCAGCATTTTGTTTACCCCTCTCCTATCCTTAGGCACTTAAACCAAGACAAAAAGCCACAACGAACATCCCTTTTTCAATAAATTTTATAGTGTGCAGCTCTATTCCGAGCCCTTAGCACCCATTCTAACCATAATACAACCATATCAAAGGCTGAGAACCATTTAGCATGTTGTTGAAAACTGAAAGGTTTTTTTCAGTTCTTTTTAGAAAAAAAACAAAACACAAAAAACTTGCTATTGCTCACAGAATTGGCATCTCATTTTTGGGACCTCCCATCTTTCTGTTTTGAAAAGTGTACAGTAGTGCAGTGTTCCTGATGTAACTTTATGGCTTACTATGTTGACATGTCTCAGGTTCATGTGTTTTGATTGGTGTTTTCCGTCTCAGGTAGATTGCAAAGCGTAGGCCCCACACATTGGAAAAAAAATAATAATAATAAAACAAAGCAAAAACAGGAAATTATCGATTTTAGTTGTATATTGGTTTATGTATTTTTTAAGTATACAGTGCACTGTTTGAAATGTATTGTTGAGTATTACTTTGTACAGGTTGATCACTTTTTTTAGAGTGAAGAAAGAACAAACTTGTTTTTTGTGTTTTTTAAAGGAATATAAAATAATGAAGGATGTATAATTGATGCCAAATAAGCTTGTTCTTTAGTCACACCGACGTCTTATTTTTCCCTTTAGGCCAGTTCTGTTTTTAAGGTGTACATGGACAATGTTACAGTGTAAGAAACTCCATATCCATATGTTCTCATTCGCATTTTGTATTGGTTCATGTATACCATTTTTACAAAAAAAAAGAAAAAAAAAAGAAGTACTATAAAATATCTGTCTTCTTAATAAAAAAAAAATTAATGTTACAAAGTGATCCTTTAATCTCTTTATGGACTTCTTATGGACGACTCAGCGCGAGAGAAGAGACTGGTCTCTGGTGCCAGCTTCCTCCTTAGGACTTTGCGCGGGCCAAGAACACTGGCAGCAAATGCCAGGAAGTGCTGTGGCTGGGTTCTGGGGACCGCGTTCTCTCTCCTTCTCTGCTCATCCGTCCTGTCCTTGTTCTCTTCTATCCTCTCAGCAGACAGGTGAACCAGGTGCCCTGGCTGAGTCTGGGCTCCTCCACGTGGACTCAGGAATTTGTGCAGGTGCGCAAGACGCAGTGGCGGGCCAGCTGGGACAGGCCCCTCCCATGGATTTGTCTCCTGCCCTCACCCCCCTCTTTCACCCACCACCCACACCAACTCTCCTGTGTTGGCTGCTCCACCTGTCTCCTACTTTGGGATTTCGTGTCTTAACGATTCATTCTGCCTTCTTCATTTAAACTTCTCTCCCCTTTCACACGAAGGTGTGAGCTGTGGAAGACTGGTTCAGCCGCCTGCAGATTGTTCTCACTTGCTGTTTAGGTGGCTGAGACCTCCAGGCCTGGGGGGACCACAGGACTCGGTCTGTTGTCATCGTCCTTGCCTTGCAGGCCAAAGTGAACAATGACTGCACTTCATGGTGGCTGATCTTATAACTGCGCGGATAATACTTGACCAGCCCCAAAGTCCCCTCTCCCCACCAGTCACCCAGCTGCAGTTGAGTTCCCCTTTTCTCTCTTGGTCAGGTAATGGGGAAAGCTCAGCAGTGAAAGAAAAGGTAAGCTCCAGAACAGCCAGAGGCTGTATTTCACTTTGGCCTCTTCTGTCCTGGCCCGTTGCCACCAGTCACCCAGCTGCAGTTGAGTTCCCCTTTTCTCTCTTGGTCAGGTAATGGGGAAAGTTCAGCAGTGAAAGAAAAGGTAAGCTCCAGAACAGCCAGAGGCTGTATTTCACTTTGGCCTCTTCTGTCCTGGCCCGTTGTCTAGCCTGTCGCTGTAGAAAAAAGAAATCAGTTAATCAAATATGCAGTTATTGAGCAACCGCTGTATGCCCAGCATTGTGAGGGATACAGGGAAGTGTAAGGTGGTCTCTGGAGGCTGACCCTCAGCCAGGGATGCCACACCACACCTTATAGGTAAGGAGCCCAGGGAGTGCTGTGGGAATTTCTCGAAGAAGAGAGATCAGTGAAGGCTGGTGAGTCAGACAGCTTCATGCAGGAGCCAGACCCCAGCTGAATCTTAAAGGATAGTTTATCAGAGAAGGAAGGTGAGTCAAAGATAGACAGGGCAATAGCCCAGTCAGCCTGCTGATGTTTATGGGAAGAATTAAGTGAAATCAGTTATGTGTGCAGGGGGTGGATCAGTCTAATGGCTGTACTCAGAGCCCAGGTCGGGGAATGGAGCTTCCAGTGACCTCTCCTGGCTTCTGCCAAAGGGCAAGGAGTACTGGGGAACACTAATTCATCTTCTCTGTATAAAAAGGCCCATATAGGTGATACAGCATAGAGATCAAGAGCACAGGCTAGAGCAACACTGCCTGGATTCAAATCCCTGCCCCGCCACTTGTTAGCTGTGAAATCTCAGGCAGTTTACCCAACCTACCTGGCCTTGGTCTCCTGCTCTGTCAGGTAGCATAACCTCAAAGGTTGTTAGGAGACGGAAATGAGATAAGCAGTCAGTGTTTAGCAAATAAGGTGCCAGACACAGTAAGCGTTCATTACACATTAGTCATAATACAGGATAGAGGCAAATGATCAGAAAGAGAGATGACCCATGGCTACCAAGAAGTGGTTCCCACCTGGAGGGAACTCTGGGCCCCTGTGCATGTGGACGGACACATCATGCCCTTGTGAACCTCATCTTAGAATGTGGAATGGCCCCTTTCTTAGCGTAGTTATTCCAGGCCCTGTGGGACTCAGCGTGTCCAGTGTCCCCACCCCTCTCACCCTTGTCTGTAGCATGAGTGTCAAGATTCAACTGTAACCTACAGAGAAGGGACCCCAGAAGTTCACTGAACTGAGGCAGACATGAGGTGGCAACTTGTTGCACATTGCAGCGCAGGGTATGCAAATGAGAGACGCCAGAAGCAGCCTGGTTAGTAAGAGCTTGATAAGTTGCCCAGTCCTTTATTGGGTACAAGAGTGAAAATGGCCATCGTTTCCACCAGAGGGTTTTCACAAATGTTTTGGCCTGGTTGCATTCTCCAAATACATCAACCGGAACCCTGAGGTGATATGCAGGTGTTAATTGGTGCAATCTTTCACTGTCCTCTGTCTACTTGAAATGTAATTCTTGTACTGCTCTGGACTTACTCTATGGAGAAATGTTCCTTTGATTCTGTCATCCAGAACCTTAAGGCAGCCATGCAGTCACTGTGCTACAGGTAGACAGACCCTGCTTCAGTGAAAGCATTTCTGTGTCATTATAAAATTATGCTTCAGACCCATACGCACACACATCCTGTGTTTTGCCAGGATGCCAAACACACGGCCCTTCCACATGAAGAGCTGGCAGCCACATTCCTTCAGAGTAAAATTTGTATTCACAGCCACCCATGTAGGGTTTGGAAAAATTCTCAAAATGAAGCACTTGGACGTCCTGACCCACTGTACTAGAGAAGGAAGAAGGGATTCTCAGTCATCATCCAACTGACCTTGTGGGCCAATATATTAAAGTCACTGGCAGGCACATAGTAGGCACTCATCAAGTAGTGGTTGATTACAGAAGGATAGTCAAGCACCTAGTTACCTGAGACTCGTTTATATTTAGTCTGAATGGGCCACCGATTCTGTGTTTCGGACCTTAATATTTGTTAAGTTCATCCCCAGTTTGAGGTTGGCCTTGAAGCAATGAACCTGAGTTTAGTGTTACTGGTTCCATCATTCTAAAGGACCTGCTGGAGCAGAGTGTCTCTTCCCCTTTACGGGGAGCGCCTTTTGGTTATGGCTAAGCAAAGCCTTGCCATTGCTATCATATATTGTGAGGGGCCTTCAGAATGAGGTATGGCAAGTTAGAAAAACTCAAACCATGCTCTTTATTTGTTTTCATCTCAAAATGTTGAAATGTGCCTCTGATAGGAGCTGCAGGATTCAGTTTCCCACCACACCCCCCGCATCATGACATGTGATAGGAAGAGGGTGTTAGGCCCAAGGATAATGTGAGCGCCCCTGAAATGAGACCTCAAAGCAGGAATCCTCTCTGTTTTCAAGTCCTCCAGTCCTCAGCTTCCAGGCTCTTTGGTACACAGGAAACTATATTTTTTTATTTTTCATTCCAAAGTGAACGTAAAATGCCCTTTGCCCCTCGTGGTCAGTACCAGGAAATACAACTTGAGCCTTGCATATTTAATTGTGGAATGAATCCCAGCAAGGAACTGCAAGTCTACTGCTTTTTCTCTCACACGCATGCACAATTTACTCCCATTTACTCCCTCCCAATCCTTTGAAGTGGTGAGCTGGGGAAACTGAGTACCACTAACGAGGGGCAAATCAACCCATGTGCTGGGCCAGGACTTCACCAGCTGCTCTCCAAACGTGCACTGGCTCACAGTCATATCTCAGATGTGACCACCTTAAATCTTCCTTAAGTGCTATCTTCTCAGGTTAATTAATCACCATGTTTAAACTTGCTGTTACCAGCAGGAAGTCCATCCTGAAGTCAGCAATGTTACGATTGCATCTTCTAATACTGTTTATCCTGCATTAGTGTTTACTTAGGGGGAAAATTGATCTGTAATTGATATTTCAGTCTTCCAGAGCTGATGTTGGAAGAGCCTAATGAAAGCCTTTAATAGCGAGCAAATATTTAAATCCCTTAATGGTTGCTGAATATTGAAATGTGTGACTTTATTACTCTTTTTGGTTTGTTTTCTCTGTAGTTGTGTATGTCATCTTTTAAACTTGCAACGGAGGCTGGCAGGCTCGAGTCTAGCTAATCCACAAAAGCTGCTTGCCCAGACACAGCAGACCTGATTAAAAAGTATTGCTATGGAAGGGAGTCTTCTGCACTAATCAGTCTCTGTTAGCTAGTGATGAAATTACTATCCATCTCTCTCTCTTTCTCTTTCTCTCCCTCTCTCTAGGCCTGTTTTCTCTAACCTCCTCTCCCAGAATAAAGTGATGAGGGCAGCTATAGTGTTGCAATTAGGAGCATGAATCTTTTATCGTTTGGACAAGGAAGGGAAAATGCCATTACTGTCAACCGAAATGTCCTACTTGGGTTTTTTTGCTCCTACTTCCCTGCCAAAGCCCATTGCTGCTGCTGAAAGTGTATAACATTCACAGCTGTTCTTGATGGCTTGATTCTTAACACAGCCAGAAATGTAGCCCGGGAGATGCTTAAGACAGTTTATGGAAAATAATAGATTTCCTTGCAGAGACACCAATGCAACGAGAAGGGCCTTGAGTCGCATTAGGCCCAGCCACGATCACCAGTTTTCTCCCTTTCTGGCTTCAGTTACAAAGGCTGTAGCTAAAAAATGCAGGCCCTCTTGAATTCTCTTTCTATCAGCACCCACATGTCTCTGGCTATGGCACCCTTTGTCTCACCACTCACCTGCAGCAGCCGCATGATCTGAAAAGAAGCAGCGTCTACAGCCATGGAAAGAAAATGATGCTACTGAGTGGAGAGGAAGAACTCCCAGGAAGGCCAGCTGATGAGAGCTAAGACTAGGTCCACCAGCCTGGGTGCTCCAGAGACAGACGGCTGTGTTGGATGGAGGCCACCACTACCATCCCAGCACAAGGGTGGGGTCCTCCCTTCCCTGTGTGGCATCCCCATGTGACCATAAGGAATGCCAAGAAGTGGTGTAGTTAGTTCCGCTAGCTTCAGCTATCCAGCCTCATCACTGTGCCCTGACTCTCAGACCCAGCCCTTAGGTAGGAACCTCTGGGAATGAAATTCCCTACGGCAGGCCAAAAGGGAGTGGCTTTTCAGTCACAAATGTTGGGAAGGCTGCAAGAATGAAACAGCAAACAGTGC